GTGTAGTATGTCAGCCGCTCGCACATCTCAACCAGCAGAATCATAGCTATAGGAAACTTTCTGACGGGCTTGCCATATTCTGGAAGACTTTCTGACCCGCTTGACGCAGAGTCTGAGTCATCTTGACAAGACATGTTCTATCCCACGAAATTTCAGTGGGTAAGGGCAAACGGGGTTCTTCCGATTGAGCCCAACAAGGCGGATCCAAAGTTCAGAACAGTACACATGCCCGCTTCAGATACTAGATGCAATAGATATCACTAGATGCTGGGCCCCAGACCTGATCCTCTTCCTGCAGACTGGACACGGCTTCTTGGCCAAGCCTTGAGGACGTTCAGCCCACGAGACGTTGCATGAACTACGCCAGTGCACCCAAGAGCCACACGCTCTCCGCACTCGACGCAAGAAGCCATGTGACCGCAAGGAATGAAGACGGTGGCGGGAGGGCTATCCAGGCCTCACTGCTGCATGATTCGGGGGGAGGGCTTAAGCACATGTTGGGCAGATCTGACTGTTACGAACTTGCAAAAAAAGGCTCTTTCTATCGCGCTTCTTGGTGAAACTTGCCCTTTCTTCTGGAGGCTGATGACTTGTGCTAATTACAATACACGACAGTTGCAGCTTGGCTTTCGGTCCTCTGGCGGCAGGCCAAGAGCAATGCGACACTTGCGCATTCTCCCCTGGTACTCCTCTGCAATACAAACCTCTTGCCGGTCACGTTGGGCGACTGCTGCGAACTCGCGCATAAAGCAGCGCGCACGAAATAAAGAAGAGTAGGCTGCCAGCACAAACAAGCCAAGCATCATCGTGGCAGAAATGACAGCAGCTGCAAATGCGCCCCATCCAGCCAAGAGCATGCAAATAACCCCAACAATATGCTGGAATCGCTTAGCCCAGGCGTAATCCTGCCTAAAAACACTTATGTACAAGCACGAGCAGAGAAGAAATGCACGACGAAAACACAGCAAAGGCAGACGAAGAGAGCTGCATGACGAGGAATCATGAGTTTGGCGCCGTCGACGTTTGCGATTGCGTTGTGCGGTCAACAGTATGCAAAGGCCTTCAACAAGTGCACCAGGAGCCAACTGCAACAGCGTCCAGGCCAAGTTGTAAAGCAGTTTGTATGACATCCTTGCCATGAATCGAATTGCGAGCACCCACCAGGACATTAAAGACCACCGGAGGCAACAAAGCAGAAGAGTCATCCAGACAGTAAGTGCAACAGCACGGCGCCTTCGGATGACAGCATTCCATCTTTGCCGGCACTCTACAAGCCTCACTTCCTGCTCTGCCTGGAGCTGCTGGATTTGTTGGCGAAGAGCTTGCTTCTTCCTAAGGTCCACCTCGCCGCGCCACCTATGAATAAGAAGCTGCTTGCTAGAAGCGCTTGATGCCGCACGCGTTTTGCCCAAAATCTCGCTATTCAAACGGCTAATGTGACGGGAGATGAACCCATCAAAGACGGGCTTGGCGATCTGCTCAGGGCCAGCAATCTGCGGTGCCGGCGACATCCAGAAATCTGCAGCAAGCATCCTGTCCCAGACTGCATCTGCTTCACAGCATTCGTATGTGCCTCGGTCCACTCCTGCCAAATGCCCCACTTCCGCTGGTGTGCAGAAGGCAAGCAGGAAGGTTAGCACATCACGTCGCAATCCTAGACTCAGAAGCGACTCCCTCACCTGCATCCTAATCGATGTGCTCAAAATGCCGGTGTGCCCAGGAGGGGGGAGCTGCTGCATCATAACCAGTTGCACCCGCTTCAGACCATCATCTGCTTTGTGTTGGTCGAGGCTGGCTGGAACGAGCGAGGCATGAGCTCCCATGCTGCTCACCCAATGCTTGTCCACGGCAACACATCCCCCTTGGTAATCCAAGGTGTGTGGGCGGCGGGCACAAGGAAAATACCTGATCTACATCAGTTGGTGCAAGCTGACTAACTAATGCATTGCTTGCTTGGGCAGTTGGTTAATGGAGTTGTGTTCGGAGTGATTGGTTGCTTTGTGTAAGCCCCAGAGCGCGGAATTCTACAAGTTCACCCTCTATCACTGAACCTCCTCCATTTCAGGAGCTATGGTAGTGGCGAACCGGCGTACATCAGCTGCTGAGCCAGACACCAGCTGAGCATGAAGGAAAACAACCCAACCACCTTCACTGAACACAGCACTGAGCTGATCACAAATGGCGCATACCGGCGGGTTGGAACGGCTCGAACGTACCTACAACACCATCCAGGAATCCAGACTCCCCCTTCAAGCTGGCGCGTATAACCCTACAGCCTATCTATAAAGCACTACATGGCCTCTGCAGGCGACTGGCTCGCTGGAGGCTGCGCTGGAGGCTGCGCTGGAGGCTGCGCTGGAGGCTGCGCTGGAGGCTGCGTTGCAACAGCATCCTCCTCAGCGGTGCTCTCCGCCCCCGTTACGAGGGACTCCTCCCGCGGCCGCTTTCTGTCTGGTTCCGGCTCAGGCAGCTCTATCCGCAGCTTTTCAGCGGCAAGGGAGTAGTAGACGCCGTCTACGTCAACTCGCCATCTCTGTCCTTCCTGAGAGTCCAGGAGTCCCTTCGCACCGTTCAAGCCCGGATGGGATGTTACCCCCTCAATAATCACAACCGCTCCAGCACGCAGGCTGGTTTGCAACGTACTCGAGGGCTGCGGTTCAGTGGGGAGCGAAGGCGGTGCCGAACAGGACTCCCCACGAGCTTCAGCCTCTGCGCGGTCTATCCATCCACTCTCAAGCAACTCCTCAATTTCTAGGTCTTCCTCTTCGAGGAGGTTGATTCTTGGCATGGTCGGCGTGCATTTTGCGGCATCGGGCGTATACTGCAAATTCATGCAGGCATTGGCTGCACTGCGATCCTGCGCACTCGAAAGGAATGCATCCAGATCCCTGTCAGATATCGTGAAACCTAGGCCTCCAAGGTTTTGAACCAACTGGTGGATCGCAGAGGGACCCTGAATCTCCCATGCTTTAGAAGCTTGGTCGAACTTGGCGTTTTGAAGCTGCTTGATGGCTTGAACCATGGCATCAAAGAAGCCTCGCCGGCTTCGTCGCACTGTCTCATCGTCGTTCCAGTCCGTTTTTACCTCTGCCAAGTAGCTCTGCCCTTTAACCCGTATGGACACACGGGCCCATGGCGCCACCGCGGGGGGGTGGGCCAGCAACTGTACATCTGCAGGCATGGCATTCGGCCGAACTGCACATCATCACAGCCATGCGCATATCACGTGTTCCTGACATCACGTTGAACTTAGAAACACTCTGCTTGTGCTCTCCAACTGCGACCCATCTTTCATGCAGCTAATCCTTTTAGGCTGGAATTTAAGCGATGCCAACCATCATGCCTACGTTATAGCTTGAACTTGTTGACTGGGTGAAACCCATTTCAATGAGTTGCGGAGCTGAGAAGCGCGGACGCAAACAACCAAGTGCAGCAAAGCCAAGAGCTGAATAGCTGAGGCCAAATATGCGCAACTCATCTGCGAGGGGTTTGGGCGCCAGAGTCCACTGGCACTTCAATGCCATCAAAGACTGGGAAGTCCTGCAACAGGGCGCAGAGCTCATCTCAAAGATGTCTGGCCAGCAGTCATACACAGCAAGTGACAGACAGCTGCAGGCAATGTCTCCCTGTTTCGAATGCCCTGAGGCGCCACAGTCGGGGAACGCTTTGCAGCGGAAACCGCGCTTCGCACTGGAATCGCTACAGAAACGTTTGCAGTAGGTAGGTTTCCCTTGCCAATGCAAATCGCAATCAACCATACCTGAAACGTCGCAGCGCGCGACCTTGGAACGCACAGTACCTCGGTAAGCTGCATCTTGCATCTCAATCCGAGACGCGACTCCTGGCACCGGTTCCTTCTATGTCACCGAGCAAGTTCTTGCCTAAGTCAGCATAAGAAGAACTAAGTGTAGTATTGAGGAACAGGAAACGGGTAGCAAGAACCACTGCCACAAGAATCTCATGGCAAAACAAGCAGCAGCAGCAGCAGCAGCAGCCAAAGGATCATTCAGTAGCGCTTCGACCATGTTCAAACCATTACCAAATCCAGCCGGGAAGTCCAGAGGCTGCCATCAAAGCGGGAGCCTGGATCGGCTTCAAGACCATGCTGCAAAACACTGTCGTTATCTACACACATGTATAGCATACATGTATAACTGTAGTTCATCATATTAGAGCTACTGTCGAAATTTCTTGCCTGGCTAATAGACATGGGCTTGGCGTTATCGTCTTTAATTGCCTCCCCTATCGTTTTTTCGGCATTCTCGCCTTTTCTCACAAGAACGACTCCTTAACGTGTCTTAAGCAGCATGGCTCACTGCGTCATGGTTATCCTTTTGTTTTGTCCCACCTATCGTTTTACAGGGTTTTCAGCGTCAGCCACTAAAGTCATGACCACCTGAGACATGATCTAATGTTTGGAAATTTTACTGTCGCTCAATATGTGTTTGCATCTCCATATCTATGGCTGCATTTGCTTAGGGGTCTGCGTGGAAACTCTGAATCCACCAAGGGAAGTTTTGCTAAGATTGTGTTCTGGGGGGATTCTTCGAGGGCCTGCTTTGGGCATGTTTCAGGGCATGCATTGTGGGACTGCAAGCCTTAAGACGTCCTGCGTGCGAAGAATGCTTTGCGGGCATTCTCTGTGCTACGCTGCACGGTTTTGTTTCGGGCAATGGTTTGGAGATTTACTGCAAAGGAGTAGACGCACCGGAGTCGTAGCTATTGCTGCTTTTGTTAGAGCTGTTTTCTGTTCTCATTGCCAAGGTACAGAAAGCGACCGAAGGCACAGCCCTTTCAAAAAACTGCAGACATTGCTCAAAGGCACGGAACCCAAGCAAAAGTACTGTAGACAAGCAACGCAGTGCTGATTAAAGGGGGCCTATCATACAAGCCAGCTACATAAGGAAAAGTCCAACACAAGACCTCCTCGACAGCAATAGGACTTGGAATCACAAGTAGCGGTGGCAGCAGTCCCGAAACAGCACCAACATCAGCATTGCTTTGTATTGGTGATGCTGATGCTGAGGAAAGCTATTAGCATCCAAGGCCAGAGCTCAAGGAAGTCGTATGGAGCAGCTGATCAACCACCTGCAAACACTTGGGCTACACCACTCCTGGAACATTGCCATGGCGACCATGACCGCAGTGTACAAACTTGAGCTGCGCTCCTCTATCAAAATCTCCCGCGACGAGACGATACCCTGCATGAAGGCAGACAAACATTGACAGCAAACTGGTCGCTTTCGCCAGCAGGAGGGATTGCGCACCACTATACGAGCAATCTCGTTGGAGGACAAGAAGATTCGCTGCAGCCTTCAAAGGCCAGCCAGCTGAAGCAGGAAATCCCTAGACTCCACTCCACCAGCCATTCTGGACAGGATCAGGAGGCCAAACAAAGAGACATCCCACCTGTGATGAATCTGCACTCGGCTCCAGGGCCCGGACTTGGAGGCGAGAAGGCGTGTGGCAAGTACATGTAAGGTCTCGTGGTGGTCAACAGATACTACCTGAAACCCAGAGGGCGAACACACGAAAGCCATCCCATCCGGCTCATAACCCCAAGGGTCATAGCTGCATAGGCTTCCAGCGTTGAATCGACGCAGACTGCGGTAGCGAACCACCTTCGCAGAATCCTCAGCCACAACCTGGGCAAGGCGGGCTTGCCGGGGGGGCCCTGGGGGATGCTGGAGGTACGTGGGAACTATCAGATGATGAGGGCCTAGTGGGCTTGCGTCAAGGTTTAGGATTCTGGATCCAGGATTCAGGGGGCTGAGTTTCAGGGTCAGGGGTGCAAGGGCGATCCACAGAAACATGCTTAGGATTAAGGGTTCAAGACTTAAGGCTTAGGGTTTAGGATTGGGCTCAATCAACGTTTAGGTTTAGGGCTTAGGCTTTGCTTTTTCGCTGCCTCCCCCCGGCAAAGCACCCGGAGGTTGGCGTGAGAAATCTTTCCATGAACGTCAGACACCGCATAACTTGCTTAGTTTTGCGTAGTCCCACATGGGGGACCTTTGTCCAGGTTTCCGGCATGCTGTCTCCAGGACAAGAAATCATCGATGCTATAGTCTAGCACGTGATACCTCAGGGACACGGCGAAGGGTCCCTGACAATGGTTTGCGACAACGCCCGAGGATCACACTCATCAGATTCGAAAACCTGGCAGCTTGCAGGATCCTCTTTCAATTGCAGCCAACTATGCCAAAATGTGCTAAACACGGCTGGCAGGGCCAGCTTCAGGTCTGCAACGGCCACAACGCCAACAGCAACTGCTCCACCCAAGTCACCGGAGAGTTCTTGAGAGGTAGCTGGACCTGAACCAATTGGGGCCATCCCTCTTGCCGCATGCCACTAGCTGCCCATGTCAACATAGCCCAACTTTCATAATGCAGGGCACAGATTGTGAGCCGTTCTGCGTCCATGATTTGCCTGAGCTGCGGTGCTGTCCATCGTGAAACACCTGACTCTTGCTGCCATGGTGCAGAGCATGCAGAACCGTGTCATCGCGTGGCACGGAGAGTGCCTGCAACCACATATTCATACATGCACAGAGACAAGACACTGGTCCTGAATCAACTGGCAGTCCTGCAGCACTTCACTGCGGCGATCGAAGGTCCTCGCCTCCTGCGGCAAATCTTCAAGGCTGACTTGAGAAGCTCCCGAAGCCGTGCCATGGGACAGTCTGAAGAAGGCACGGCGTCCCGCGACTTGAGCACAGCAGACGGCGTGTCAAAACCTGGGGCAGCACCGTGTTGTTTGTTCGTCAGGTTGGTACGCGTGGTGTTGACTTTCCGCTTCCTCCCTTCTCGTCACGATCCCTCGCCAATCTCACGATAGATATTCCAGTCTAGCCTGCAACTGGAAACACCCACAGAACCAACAACACGAGCGCAAAAGCAGTCAAACCCCAAAGAACCACAACCCAAAGCCTCTAACCTTGAACCCCCAAACCTGTTCTAAAGCCTGAAAACCCTGAGCTGTATAAAGCCTAAACATCCGAAAACATCAGCCAATAGCTAAGATTCCTCTTAGTTCTAAGATCATGAAACTGCCCTAGAAAAGCCCAGAAACCCTCAAGCATTAAAAGCTAGGAAATCGTTGACCCTTGAATACAAAGAACCCTAAACCACCAACAGGCTAGATCCGAAAGCTAGGCCTTAAAAATTGTAAGCCGCTAGACCGAGAACTCCAAGAACTAAGAACCTGGCGCCCCAACCTCTAAACCCAAGAAACTGCAACATGTTCATTCCGATGTTGAATAGTCAGCAACATATTCTCCGCTATATGTAGTTCAAGGAGGGCCCTTCTTTGCTTGAGATTCATGGTTCACGGTTGAGCGCTGCGCTCTTGTGAAAACAGCGCTGTGCGCGCTTCCTGTCTGTGTTTCTGAGCCCGATCTACGTTTCTGCTGTGCTGCTCGCTGCATTGGCAGCGGAGCGTAAGCTCCGGGGCCTCCAGGTGCATGACTCCTGTAAGGACAAGTGCACCTAGCTTGCTGTCTTCTTCTTCTACACGGGCTTCTACGTCCCCGGCGGCAAGCGACAATTCTTCCCTTTCTGTTTGATTTCTTCTTCAAGGTCATCTGCGAGAAAGATGGCGGATTCCAAAGAGCTTTCAGGAATACCCTCATGGGACGGCTCAGCAAGGACTTGGAGGAGGTACACTCGAGAAGTTAGCTGGTTTGTTCAAGCTACGCCTGTTCACAAGCGTCGCTATTGCTCCAGCAAACTTCTTGGCAAGCTTTCTGGACCGGCAAGGCTGTTGGCAATGTCGTGGAGCAAAATGGCATTTGATTCTCCTGGAGGAACACGGCTTCTGCTCCAGAGATTGGCGGCGAGCCCCTTGGTCCGGAAGACTCTCCCGAACGCTGCTGCGATCTGCCAACAGTACTTCTCCTTCAAGCGGAATCCTCATGAGTCCATAGGCAACTTCTTGGTCAGAGAGACTCTTGTTCATGAAGAGTTCACCGAAGCCATCATACGATTGCATGAAGAGAAGCTCGGTCTCACTCAGGAGTCACGCGACTTTGGACTTCCTCGTGAAGAATGGTCTGAGTCAGGCTCTTGGGGCGATGGCGGCTGGTGGGATGACCGCTACTATGAGCCTGAGTATGAGGAGGCTGGCGATGAAGAACCTCATCCTGACCTCGATTCTCCGCATGTTGATGGTGATGATTCAGGACTACCTCAACAAGTCCCTGGCCAAGGCAACCCGACGGCGGCCACTGGATCGTCTCCAAGCCACCGACCTGCTTCTCTGCGAGATGCAGCCGTTGGAAGCACTGCTGCGCTGGACACTGGACCTGTCAAGAACGTCGAGGCCATTGATGAGCTGGCCATTGCGGACTCGTTTGTGATGGGCGTGTTGCGCGGGCGGCGGCTGATTCAAGCAGCTGGGCTCTCAGCTGAAGAGAAGAGAGACATCCTCTCTACAACTAAGAATTCGTTGGACTATGAGAGCATCTCTTCGGCCTTGCAGAGTCTCTGGGACGACCAGCTGCTGAGCCATCGACATCAACGACAAGGCGCCGACTTCTACTCGAACCAGGCGGAGCAGTTCGACAACGGCGAGCTCTACTACCAGGAGTCTGATGATTGGTGGCAAGGACAAGATGGATGGTGGAACGACAGTTACTACCATGAGTCCGAGGCCTATGATTGGTGGGAGGACGATCCCTGGTACCACCACGAGTACAATATGGCTTCTGAACCTGAAGATCCTGAGAAGGAAGCTCAGAATGCTGAGCGCGTTGCCGAGTCCCTGGCCATTGAGGCCTCTCGCACCTGGGCTGATGCCCAACGTGCCACTCAGGCACTTCGCAAGGATCGAGGATTTGGTCTTCACACCACCTCCAATGGCGGCTCCTTCGGCAAGTGCTTCATACGCGGAGGCAACCACTTTGCCCGAGAGTGCCCAGATCGTCAGCATCCCGGCAAGGGCTATCCCAAGGGCAAGTACAAGAACTACATGACCGAGTATGAGGACCTCAATTACTCCACCAAGGGCAAGTTCAAGGGGAAGTCCAAGGGCAAGAACAACCATTGGATGGAGAACCACGGCCTGTGGAAGGGTGGAAAAGGGCGTGGCAAGAACCCACGAAGGGCAAGGATGCGCCTCGCTCTGTTAACGCCTATTCCTCTGACATGATCCTTGCTGGCTTGGAGGTTCTTGAAGCCCACTCGTCCTCAGCGTCCTCATCTACTGAGCCTGGCGTCGGCATGATTGATTGTGGAGCCACGGCTTCTGCAGCACCGGAAGCTGTGGTTAAGAGTCTGATTGATGCCGTTCTCACCCATGACAAGGGAGCGATCATTGAACTTGATCAGAGTGCTCGGGCATACTTTCGCTTTGGGAACGGGCGTTGGGGTAGAGCTTTGTGTAGAGTTCATATCAGCAGTGCAGTGTCAGGAAGAACTCGTCAATTTTCCTTGTATACTCTGCCGAATCCTGCTGAGTATGTGAGCAACAACTTCGACAAGTCGTGCTTGGTTCCGGTGCTGATTGGTATGGATCATCTGGGTCACAAAGGGGTTGGCATGATGATTGATTTCTCCCTGGGGTTCGAGATACCCTGAGATTGTGCAAAATGCTGAACGCTTATCTTCGACACTTGCTTCCGCATCAAACATGGACCTCGTTGATGGTGACCTTCAATGGCAAGTCTGTTCCTCATAAAGACCATCACAATCTTCCTGGCACCCTCAATGCGACCGTCTGCCTGGGCTCCTTCACCGGAGGAGAATTATGGATTGCTGGCAAACCTCCTGCTGGCACACTTCCTACCCGGCGCCGGAGACCGGATGGCTCCATGGTGGAGGGACACCTGGTGAGCGTTTATGGGCAACCAGCAGTCTTTTCGCCCAGCACGCTGCATGCCACGCAAGATTTGAAGGGCTTTCGCATTGCCCTCACTGCATACACCACCAGGATGTATCCGGCATTCTCGATGGAAGACGTGCGCAATCTACGCAAGCTCGGCTTTCCTCTTCCTGCTGCACAATCCCAAGAACTACCTCCACCTCACACCTCCTCTACTACGACTTCGAAGGGGATAGCATCTAGTGGTGAAATTCAATCCCGAGAACTAGTACCTCACACCTCATCTACTACGACTTCTCAGGGGGTTTTAGTTGAACCACAGTCTTCTGACGATGCTCGGGAGGGGTTTCAAACAGCAGCTAGTACCACGGAGTCCATGGAGGAGGAGAATGTGACAGACCAACAGCGTCAGCAGTGGGACGCACAACTTGCCAAGTTCCACAAGGCAGCTGGACATCCCACATCTCGCAACTTGGCCAGAGCGGTCAAAGAAGCTGGACATCCTGATTGGAAGGTGAAGGCGGCGCTCAACTACAAGTGTCCCACGTGTGAGTCCTTAAAACCTGGAGGTGTCTCTTCTGGTCAAATCCCTCCTGCAAGCACATCTCCGTTCTACAAGGCGTGGGAGGCAGTATCTGCTGATGCTGGTGAATGGGTGGTCCCCGGCAGCAAGATGAAGGTGAAGTTCATCCTGTTCATGGATGGATTTAGCAACCAAATTGCGTGTGATATATCCCATCAAGATCTACGAGATCATGTCCACGCAGGCAGAATCAGCTGAGGATGTCATCATGGGTTTGTCAGAGAGATGGCTTGCCTCCTTTCCGAAGCCACGGCTCCTAGTGATGGATGCAGCAAAGACATTCTCCTCTGATAGGACGCATGCCTTTCTGTCGTCGGTGAATATCCTGCCGCACTTCGTGGCCGAGAAAGAGCCGTGGGCCCATGGTGTCACCGAAGCCAATGTTTGCAGGATGTCAAGCACACGGCATCTGCTATCCACAAAAAAGCCCTGGACCAGCATCCCTTCATCTCTCTCTACCTGTCGGTGTCTGCCTTGAACTCCACCGAAATCACTGCCGGCTACTCCGCGTTTCAATGGGCCTATGGCCAACAGTTTCAGATCACGGACGAGGATGCCCGAATGATGCCCAAGGATCCTTCCTTTGACTATGCTCGACTTCTAGCAGCAAGGGAGGAGGCAGAGATCATTGCCAAAAGGACGAAGGCTAAGCGCGTTCTGTCCAAACTTGCCAACACGACCGTCCGACAACCTCTCAGAGAGTTTGCACCGATGACGTTGGTCAAAGTCTGGCGCAAGCTATGGGCGCATAAAGGACCTCGTGGTGGACTCAAGAAATCTGGTCGTCCACATTGGGTAGGTCCTGGAAGAGTAGTCTTTCACGAGGTGCTGCCTCAGCAAGCTCCTGGAGATCCTCGTCGACATATAGTTTGGGCGCTCATAGGGACCCAAGTGTTCCGCTGTTCTGTGCATTCCGTGCGACCTGTGACGGAGACTGAGCGCTTCATGTACGAGACCAGTGGACAGGAGGACTTCAGTAAGTGGAGGACACTGGATGATGTTCTACCTCGACGTGAGTACACCGACATCACGGAGGAAGAGCCGAATGAGGACGAAGTGGAGATGCCTGATCTACCACCTCGACCTGATTCCACCACGACCGTCAACACCTCGAGGCGAGTCACGGGCAAGGCGACTCCCCTGTCTGAGCCTGCCTCTTCGACTGCTGAACCGGCTCCTGCACCAACGACAACAAGGCCTTTGGAGGACGTCAATGACTACGACAACGAACCGGCCGCTAAGAAAGCCCGAGGAGATGATCTCGACTGGGTCGAACAGCTTACAATGGAAGCTGATCGAGAAGCCAGAGCCCTGGACATCTTTGCCGCCATGGATGACACCGAGGAGTTCCTAAAGATCGAGTTCGATGTGGGCAACCTCAGCAACCGCCAAAAGAAACATCTGGAGAGAGATCCGGTCAGCTTTATGGTCAAGAAGATGCGAGATAGTGAAGTCTCCATCTCGCGTCTCAAGCCGGAAGAACGACCTCTTTTCGGACGTGCCAAGGCGAAAGAGGTTGACAGCTTCATGCGCAACGAGGCTGCGCGCAAGTGCCTCAACCAAGACGAAGTTCGCGAGGCGTACTCCTCTGGTCGCATCGTGAAGGCTCGTTGGGTGTTGACTTGGACACCGGCGCCTCCTGAAGACCGTGAAAGTGCTCTTCATGACCAACGAAACAACCCAGAGACCTTGCACACCAAAGATGGAGCGCGCAAGGCAAAGGCCCGGATCGTCGTCCTGTTGGGCTTCCAGCACCCTAGCCTATTGGACCCTTCCCTTAAGACTTCTTCGCCTGTGCAATCCACATTGGGTCGGAATTTGCTTTACGCCATGTCTGTCCAACATCAGTGGCCTCTTGAGGGTCTAGATCTTGCCACGGCCTCCCTGCAGACCTTGCCGACGGAGGCGGACAAGAACCTGTGGACGACGGGAGTTGAAGAACTCCGCGAAGCTCTAGGTGTTGGACAAGAAGGCATCATGCGAATCCTTCGCAATATCTACGGCAGCACAACGGCTCCTCGTGGACTTTGGCTGGACCTTCATCGGAAACTCACGAGCTTGGGAGCTCAAGCTGTTCGTGGAGAGCGTTGTCTTTGAGTGTGGCTGTCACGAACTCGAAAAGATCGTGATCACCCTCTCTCCATTGGAGCAATGGGTGGACATGTGGATGACTTCCACCGCTTGGGTGATGGATCAGCTGAATGGCTGGAAATCAAGAAGAAGATTGACAGCAAATATCAGTGGGGAACCGCGAAGACTGGCTCCTACAGGCATGCGGGCACGGACGTGACCACCTCTGTGGATGAGCACGGCTATCAGCAGATCACGGTGGACCAGAACTGCTATGTGGAGTCCCTACAGGATGCGCAGATTCCACCGGAGCGCCTTGCCGTGGACCTTCCCCTCACGAAGCAGGAGATTGAAGCCTGTCGGACCTCTCTTGGAGCCCTTCAGTGGTTAGCTGTCCAGAGTCAGCCACAGCTGTGCTCACGCTGTAACCTGCTCCTAACGGACCTCATAACCATTGGCAAGACCTCTGTTGCCAAGGAGATTCAGCAGATGATTGGTGAAGTGCGCGCCGAGTCCTTCGTACTCAAGTTCTCCAAGCTGGATGGCGCGCAACATTGGACTGATCTTGTCGTGATCTCCATGGGAGATCAAGCCCATGGTAATAGGCCTCAGGGAGACAGCACCGGGGGAATGATCACACTTCTCTCAGGACCGAACAGCCTTAGCGGTCAAGTCTGCGCCATGACCCTTGTCTCATGGCGAACGTGGAAACTCAAACGCAAGGCGATAGGGTCGAACGATGCAGAAGTGCAATCGATCCTGGAAGCCGAAGATGCCAATTTTAGAACGAGACTTCTGTGGACGGAGCTGCACGGCGCTGGCGGCCTGGAAGGAGACCGTGACCGCCGCTTGGACTTGGTCGAGAACACGGAGAAGCAAGTTCTACGTGTTCAAGGTGTTCTCTGCACTGACTCGAAGGGTGGCTTCGACGCGGTTGAAGTTAATGAGTCGCCGTTGCTTGGACTGAGCAACATGAGGGCTGCCCTTCAGGCCTTCCAGTTGAGAGAGAACCTTCAACGAGCAGGTTGTCTTCTGAGATGGCTGGCCTCGGACTATGATCTTGCGGATGCCTTAACCAAGAAGAAGTCAGATAGTCGAATTGGACTTGTACAGTTTTTGCGAACTGGTCATTGGGCCATCAAGTACGATCCGAGCTTTACTTCCGCTAAACGGAATAAGCAACAGGGTCGCACTGCCATAGATGTCATTTCTCGACAGCTCCAAAACCCTCAGAGATATGTTGCTGAACTTTGTTTGGGTCTGGTGTAACATGTTCATTCCGATGTTGAATAGTCAGCAACATATTCTCCGCTATATGTAGCTCAAGGAGGGCCCTTCTTTGCTTGAGATTCATGGTTCACGGTTGAGCGCTGCGCTCTTGTGAAAACAGCGCTGTGCGCGCTTCCTGTCTGTGTTTCTGAGCCCAATCTACGTTTCTGCTGTGCTGCTCGCTGCAGAAACCCAAGACCTACAATCCCCACGTCCCCCCTCCTACTGGTGCTCAAGGGGGAGCGAATACTGGTACCATTTGACGGGTATACATGGGGATTATATGAGCACCCTAACCTTGATTGAACCTCACACGCTTAAAATCCCCAAACACCCTCTCTTTTCGGTTATTTTTATGGCGCCTCAGGTTTAGGCTTAGGCTTTAGGGTTTAGGGACCTGGGACCCTGGAAAATATTATCCCGCAAAGCCCCCATCTCTATGAACCCTAGAGCCTCAAAAGCTCCCCACAGACTACAAACCCTAAACCCTGAAAACAGTGAAACTTACAAACCCTGAACGGGACAAAAAAAGAACGATAAACAGCCAAAACGCTTTTGATGCCCCGGCAGTCCTAAGCAGTAAAAAGCCACAAAACACAAAACACACACGGACGCACACAGAGAGCACGTAAAAGCTTAGCAAAAAAGCGAAGCCATAAAACGAAGCCATCAAAAACGTATACCTGAAAAAACACAACGCCAAACCTCATCAACCTGAACAACCTTGAACACCCTTTAACCCAAAAACAAAAACGTGAAATCCATTACAACAAAACTAAGACCTGCCACCAAATTCTGATGCCTATCAAAGAACGAATACGCAACTGAGCCCTCAAACCCTTAATCCAAAAAAATAGAAGTGAAACAAAAAACTAAGACCCTTGGACCGTTAACCTTGAGTTCTCCTTTCGATGGAGATTCAGCCTTACACCCATGGACTACCCTTGCACACATACACTGCTTGGAATCATTGGGGACTTCTAGGTTGAAGCTGTTTCAGATCTATACGATACTGGTTTCGACTGTTCTGTTGCAATCATCTTAACCTGGCATCCTACTTGCAGACACCGATTATAGCTTTCAGTTGTTAGAGACCTTGTCCTCAAAACGCCAAACCTGACAATGCGAAAACCTTACACAACCTTGAAACTTCAGGAAAAATCATGATTCACACAACTGTTAGAATGACGGAACAATCCCGACATCCCCGACGCGACCAACGGGACAGGTTTTTGGCGAAGACATTGGAGTTCCCGACTTGCCCAAACCAGGGTTCCCAACACGGCCTGCAACAGCTCCCAGCACAATTCCTGGTTCATACCTGCGGTCCCTGACTTGACTGGCAAAGTTTATTAGTTTTTCTCAGAGTTGCAAGTTGTAGATTTGGATCTTACAACGTTCAGGGTTTTAAGCTGGCTTAGGCCTTCTGATTCTGGGGTTTCCTGTTCGGGTCGGAGCTTGCGGGGTAGGCTCGAGGAGATTGGGTTTTCAAGGGTCTTTGCCATCTTATGGTTTAGAGGCTTTGGGATCATGAGTTCTTAGACTTAAGTGTTTCAAGCAAAATGGGCTTATGACTTGTGGGTTTGAACCGAGGGCCTGGGACTGGAGGGGGCACTCACCTGCATGATTACCTAAGTTGAATCCTTTCCGCTTGATGCTCTTTGTGCTTGCTTGCAACCTCATGCTGATCTTGGTGATGCCCAACGGGACAAAACGAAAACCAAAAAAAATGAACAAAAAAAAAATGGCGGCACCCAAACCTGAGAACTCCAGGGAGACAAAACTGGGCCCTCGACGAACAGCCAAGTCCAGGAAGTCAATGCAGGAGAACACTCGTACCAACTCGCCTTGATCAGCCATACTGGCGGCTGAGTACGTGCGATGTTTCATTCAATACGCTCAATGTAGCACCTTGAGCATCAACAAGAGGAACGCGGTGCACCTGAAGTGGACGACAGTGACCTGCTGTCGGACGAATGGCAAAGACCCGCACCACTTTGCGCCCTTCTCCAGGACTACTGAGCCTCATGTTCAAGAGATAAACTAAGGCATCAAAGCAACGTCATTCAGACTTGTCTCTGTTACATCGAGCCAATCATTCCAGTGGACGGACACCGTCCTTGCACCGCTTTTTTCACAGAATCCTGAGGACGCTGCAGTTGAAGGATGTTCTTGAGCGTGGTTGTCATGGCCGTGGGCCTAGATGCTGCAAAAACAGCTCACAAACTAAAGCTGTGACAATGCAGGCAAGCTCCGATGTGTCGTGCGCAGCAAACAAGCACATTGGCTTTCGAAACAGGCTGCGCCAGCCATAGCGCTCCAGAGGGATTAAGGCTCTGGCACGAACGTGGAGTAGCCAGAGCAGTTGGCCAGAACCTGCAACAAGCGCAAAGCCTTCCGTTACGGCAATTCCGAAGAACGTCGCGGCCGAGGCCCAGGCCCCAACCTTAGTCACGTAAATCGCAATGGGAGGACTTTGCTGAAGCAGCAGCATGAAAATCGCATGAAACTGCCCTTAGAGCAAGGCCGACATGCGACTGATTTGCTTGACCTGGTCTGGCCTTATCCGGCCACCTGAAGCAGCTGCGGCTGAAGAGTGGGGACTGGCAGCGAACTCCAGTTTCGGGCTGTGGGAAATGATCCAGCTCAGCGTCTTGCAGCTGTTGGCTCTGGTCACCTGTTTTCGATATGCCAGGACCCGACGTTTTGAAGGGCTCAGCCAAGAAGACTGTCTTTCGCACTCAGGAGACCACAATCTCGTGACACAGATCCATGTAGTCAAAAAACTCCTTACGGCCTTTGGAACAGCTTCGTATACTAGTCATTGCAGCTTGAGGCCAGTAGGCTTGGAGTCTGGCCGCTGCGGAACTGCACAACCACCTCAGCAAAGCACTAAGCAAAGCACTGACAATCCCTGCACAACCCCGCACAACCTGTTGATCTACTGCCTGTTGATGAGATCATGGCCCAGCGAAAGTGATACTTGCTCATCGCGCAGACCACCTCCTCTGCTATCTCTGCTGGAACCCGGAGACCTCTCTACGCTCTTTATGCTGTAGTCCCTGCAGTGGCCCTACAGCTGCCGCAGCTCCTGCACTGGCTGGTCTTCCTGAAACACCATGTCCTGACATCGAGAGCAGGAGCTGTCATGGCTACGAGCCGTCGAGGCGTCCAAGCGTTCACGCTTACAAGGCGTCCTTGAGGTTTCTCCTCGTCTCCAACAGAGGCAGAAACGTAGAGATTGGCTGATCTAATTCCCACCTCAGCTGGCGACAGCACCTTTCAAAGCATCTGAAACCCTCCATAGCAACTGGAGCTCCAGGCATCCTCTGATCCACATGACTTCTCGGCCAACTGCTTGGGGTTGCATCCTCATCCACAGCCTGCGCTCTTTCTTTCCAACAAGGTGAGGTTGAGCTGCCGCCCACCTCTGCTGATCTGGTGACATCCTGAAACGGATCATCAATCCAGGGCATCAGGGCCTCAGCATCTTGTAGACAGCTCCAGGGTTCAAAAGACTAGTGCACAAAAAAGCTCCGATGCCGAGTCACCGCCAGGAATTCGCAATAGCTTAAGGACTCCTCCCCGCCGCAAACAGCCTGCAGCAATCGCTTGAATCAGGACCGGCTTGAAGAACCACAGTCTTGCAGGCCTTCCAAATCATTAGAGCTTCCTCTCTTTCTGCCCTCCTGAAGTGATAGCAAGGGCATGCAAGGTCTTCCACCACATTTGTCTCACTAAGGTTGGAACCCAGCTGGACCGGTGTCCGCGCTGCAAACAACCGACAGGAAAGCCTCCATGATAGATTGCATCAGCCTCAAATCCTCGTGCAGCTCCAAGCTTCGGCAGGCCTCCAAGTCGATCGTTCCATGCAGCTTCTGGGCATCAAAGGCATCGAAAGTAGCACCTCAAGCAGTATCTGCGGAAATCGTTCGGGGGGTCCCAATGCCTATCCGCCAGCCATTCAGGTCGCAGCGTAGTGCGCAGAAGTCTCTCCATGGGAGTCGTGTAGGAGCCCGCGCCACGGCAAGCATAGAAGCTCGTGTGGTGGCAGAGCTAGATCCATACACCCGAAAGCGAGATAGCACCTGGCGAGCAGTACAGTCACGGCCCACATGCCTTCTGACTGTACCCAACACGCCTCGCTGACTTGTAAGGCATCAGGCTGCCACAGCAGCCTGTCTCTTGCATCTCGCAGATATGGATCCTCCAACGACTCACTGGATTTGAAGCGCACTGCTGCATGGAATCTGAATGCCCTCTGCTGGCACAGAAACAAACATACATTCTGCACCAAAAAAATATAAAGGCTGACCCATGTTCGTCTTTGCACGTCGTGTTGGACCTCCCCCATCCGCGCATTCAACAGCAACAGAGCGCTACATGCAGGCTTTTAGTTCGGGCTTCCTATGGGTTCGTGAGGCTGACAGAGACTTGCTTTGAGGTAGATCCTAGCTGTGACCTGCTTGCTCACATCCTTAGGCAGATCCTGACGGGAAGCGTCAAATACCGTCAAATGTCCTCAAATGTCCTACCACTTGTTCACAGCATTCAAATATCTTGTTATGGCACTGCGGGCGGTGATTCATTTCACTCCGCTGGCACACGGCCGCAGGCCTCCAGAAGCTCTTGGGCTGACGGTCGCGCACTGGGCTCTTTCGTCAGCAAGCGCCTCTGAGAGGGCGTTTTACCCGGATATGGTCTTGAAAGCGTTGAATTCAAGGTGCCTCAGAAAGCCTTGTGCGCCAACAGGCACAAGCTCAAGGTGTTTTGCAATGTCCTCGCCAAAGCAACACATCTTGTCAACTCCACGCCACGAGCGTTGCTGGGGTGTAGACTTCCAGACTCACATCTTGGATCTCTCGCAGGATCACCTTATTCTGCAATCCAGTCAGTGGAGGCTGCAGCCGTCAGCAGCCTGGCACCACTGACCTCCTCAGTGTAGCCGTCGCAGCCGCCCCTCTCCCGCTCGAACACGCAACAACCACCTTGAGCAGAGAAGCTCAGCCGCAGAGTCTCGTGCATGGTGCGACATGCCGTGAAGGGCTGAGTTCCTGACTTAGCAATTCCAGAAGCACCACGCCAAGTGACCAAATATCGCACTTCTCACTGTAGGCCTTGCAAAAGGATCAGGCAACTGAAGCTCGATCCTCGTCCCTTAAACTTCACAGCACGGTGCCAACCAAGGACACTAGTTGCGTGTTCTTATCCGGGCAAGGACTACTCTGTCTGGAAACCCATCCTTCATAGACTGATCAAAAAGTTGCACGGTCTGCATCCTTGCAATCGACGAAGTGACTCAATGTGCACAAAACATGTGCCTCCAAGGAGGCAGCGCTGTTGATAACCTGTGCCAAAACTTTGTGCATCCTCAAAGGCTTGTGGCTCAAAAATGGCCTCCGGTGCCAGGTACCCCAATGTTCCGAGGCATCCTTTTAACTGCGAGCCTAAGCATTCACGGCTCACCAAGTTGTCTCAGCCTGAAGCTGCAACAGCTGCAACGTACTGAGATGTGCTGAGGTTCTGGCAGGCCTCAACCGATCGCTCTCCTGGCCACTTGTGTTTTCCGTGCTGCGATTCCACTGGCTGTCTGGAACTGCAGTCCTTCATGCATGATCAAGCATTTGGCCTCATTGGTGCAACGATGGAATGCAGAATTTCTGAATAATCCCCCTCCATCACGGCATCTCCATGCTTTGCAGAAGCAACAGCAACCAGGACTGCGCTTTCTCTGAACTGAGCGACGGGCTGAAAAGCCAAAGTCGATTAGCTTCAGGACATTCCTCTCGGCTTCATAGACCCAGTTGCGAGGCTTGATGTCACGGTGCACGATGCCAACACGGTGTACATAGTTCAGGACACGCAGCATCTGGACGGCAGCCTGCTTGAAGTCAGGTTCTGGAAACGGACCCTTGCTCCGCAAGACGTCCTGCAGTGTACCACCTCCACAATATTGCATTATAAGACTGAGCTCCTCATCATCCTCATACACGTCAAAGAGGCGTGCGATGTGCGGATGCTCGAGGGATAAATATATGACAGCCTCATTCTTTAGCTTCTCCAGGTGGTCAGCCTTCATGGATGTGAGATTGAAGCGCTTGACGCACCGCAGACTGTTCTGCGGACGGCCCCCGAAGTCTCTAGCATGGCGCCGCTGGCAAAGCACCACCTCTCCACTGAAGCCGTGGCCGACAACAACAGGAGGATCTGCGGTGTACTGGTAATGGTCGAGAAAATTCTTGTTCCAATGCGTCAAACAGGCAACGAGCTCTAGCGACAGCTTCCGCTGGCTGATCAAGCCGCTCACCTCATCTGAGATGATCGACTTCTTCCGTTGCGCCAACACTGGTGGCTGCGCTTTCCATTCCTTGGAGTTATGCCCGTACTTCACACTCAGGCGCTTTGTGTTGATGATACGTCGGAGAGGATCGTCGGGATTGCTTTGGGCAGGGCTGGTAGGGCTGGTCTCGGGTGGCTCAAGCTCCATCTTTTCTTCCCCCAAACACCCAAGCCTCAGGGCCAGACGGACCAGCTGAAGGCGGAAGCCGTGATTCGAGAGTACTGTTCCCCGGAGCTTCTGCACATGTTCCAGGGCTCTCAAAAGTGAGAAGCCTTCCCGAACCATCAACCAACAGATCATGATGCAGGCTGACCGGTTATGCCCCGCGTGGCAATTCACTAAGACTTTCCGGTTTTCACTGCGACACTTCTGCAAGAAACGCTCCGCAGAAGGCCAGGAACTTGAGATGATGTCGAAGAAAAGCCGGTCCTCTGAATCTGCCTCCGTGTACTCAATGTCATACTGACTGAAGAGAGTCACCAGGTCCGTTCCTTCTGGCAAGAGAGCCTCGAGCTCCCACCAGCCTTAGGTCAGAGCAATGCAAGGTGAATTCAATTCGAAGGAATTTGGCACCCTGCCTATGAGGTTCAGGACGCCTTGGATGCGACGCTGCTCCAAGAGCTCCAGATCCGTAGCATCGGCAAGGTCACCCAAGAAGAGCCAGTCCAAAATCCTCTAACAGCTCGCAGCTGATGCTTTTAGAATGGCAAAGGGGAAGACTCTCGGAAATCCCTGCTACGACAATGAACATTGTATGGCGAGTCCTTGCTGGCTGCTCGCCAGGCCTGAGAGCAGCGCGTTGAGCTTCCAAACCCTTGCTCCAAAATCTTAGGCAAGGACTTCCAATAGCTCCACGGCACAGAGTCCAGGACCGAAGACCTTTCTTTCTGCACAGCAATGAAGATGCCAACAAGACCTTTAAAGGTCCTTTTTTGTAATCTTGCAGGAGTAATTGAACCACGGACGGGCGTGTTAGCAGTATATGGGCCGCCAACGCATCTTGGCTAACAACAAGACTGTGCAAAATCTTCGTCACACATGATGTGTGCTCCTCCCCGAACATTCTCAAATTGCACTGCTTGTCGTGCCAGTCCCTCAACTTCTCAAAGCTCATGAGCCATGGGCTCATCAATCAAGCACTCAAGTGTCAAACATGCATCAGGCAGGCCGACCAATCACTTGCGAGTTACGTGGACTGTACGCAAAAACGACTGGCAACTGGAGAAATACCATCACTGGCGGCCAAAAAACAAAATCATGTGTGACTGAATCCCCCTAGATGCCTCTGTTGTGCCTTTCCTTAGGAGGCGCGCTGTATACTTTGCGACTATAACGACTGAAAAACACCGCGCTACAGGCGACGAAAACATGTATGTATTTTCGTTTACCGGACCTTTTCTGTGTGGCATGAAAACATTGGGTTTGGGGCTTAGAGGTTTTCATGTCCTTGGCCATTCTGTTCTCAATCCTTCTTGAAATGTCATTAATGTTTGTTTCTTGCGCTTGATCTGCATAATCTTCCGCACAATCCACACCTACCTGTTCTCTGCTCGATGTTAAGATTGCACGGGCTCTGTCTGCCACAAGCTAGTACGCAAAAGCCATTCCATGACAAAGATCTGGGCAATAAAAACTGTTGGCTTCTTTGCATGCGTCCAAATCTGCTCGGCAGCGTGTTTGCATATGGATCGGAACAGGCAAGTTTCATGTACCTTCCTGCAAGGTTTCTGTGCCGTCAACAGGCAAACGATGCATCGTAGCCATCGTCGCGTGCTTGTCATTTGGGCTACAGGTCCTCTGCGTCTCACCATTCACCAATAAGGATTCCGACAGAGACGTCAGCTCAAGTCTTCACATCCCACCTGAACCCCAAAGTGAGACTTGAAGCTTAATGGCATTCTGGTAGATTTGATGGAAAGTGACGTCCAGCAAAGTGCAGATGTCATGTCTCTTCCTGCGAATGCAGCTGAGCGCACTGCACGAGGTCGAGACCCTTCCTCAGTGCCGACATCAATTCAAGTGAGGGCAACTGGGCACCATGGTTCAGCAAGCCTGTTCCAGCTTCTCCAAGTTCCCTGCCGCTCCTCCGGCGTCAAGGGTGCCATTTCCCCTTCATCTTCAGCTCGAACACAGGAACGACCTAGGCAAACCATCCCAAGTAATCCAAGTGCATGTTTCAGGTGGGAGTTATGATCCAAGAGCTCAGCAAAGCAGTCGGTCGCCTGTGCTTCTTGCCAACTCCTCGGTCATGAGCCAAGCACTTCGGTTCCAAAGAGGAGAAGCACTCTAACCCGATATAATATGGTAATTTCCATGTTCTTTTCCAATATCCCGTAATACAACCCCTAAAACCCTATATATGCTACCCTATAAATGGTTAGGGGCCTGGGTATGTCGTTGGCAGACTTTGCATGCAGCAACCGGACCCGCCAGCCGCGCCTGGTTCAAGTCTCTCAAGCTCTTTTTCGATAAGGGGTTATATAGGGGTTATATTCGGGTTACATAAAGATAGTGGAAAAGAAAATGGAAACTACTACTTAGGTTCATTGAGGAACGGGAGTGCCACTCCCGTGATGGGCGGTAATCCCGGTAATTCGTCGGTTCCGTAACTCCAAGGACTGGGGGATCATACAAGTGTATGTGATACCATCAAGGACTTACCCAGTCTATGCTTTTAGCCCGGGAAACCGATTATTGTTAATCAGTCAAAGTTACAAAGTGCTGACACCGTTGCATCAGCCTCCCACCTAGCAATACCTAAGCTCTATTTCTTTCCCTCTTTCATGCGGGCTATGGGATGGCTTTTGGGGCGATCCCGGGCTCCTGCCCAGTCCGTGTCGGGCCTCTTGGAACTACACCCCTCTAAACTCCACTCAGCCAAAGTTTTTTGAGGCGTTTTTGAGGTAGACTCCACATTAAGTCTTAGTGGCTATGTGGGAGTTGTCGCGTGTGGTTAATTTACCACGGCTGGTGCAACTTGCCACGTACTATATGGTTTTGGGGGCCCTAAGTAGCTGTGTCGGCAAGTTGCATCATTGTTGTCAGCACGGTTTGAGGCCTGTTGAGAAACAGTTGACTATTCTGGCATACTAGGTAGTTGGGATTAGTTTAGTTGGAGAGGCCTTGTGCACGCTTGGTGGGACTGTATGGGACTACTTGGCACATTGCTCCTGGGGTAACTGTGAACAACAGCATGGATGATTGAAAAAATGAGTCTCATCGTCCACGTCGATGGTACTTGGCCTTTTTCTTGCCTTTATCTTGCTTCGAGGAAGTTTTTGACTGCCGAGTGGCTAGTCAGGAGTTCGATGTTTTGCCAATATGGCACATGGCCTACTCTTTGTGTGTGAAGAGTTGTCACCTGCTCTGTAAACATTATACTGGTAAACCCTGAAAATTGAGGGAACAGTTTCTTACCAGGTTACTTTCTTTGAGGTGACTGGTCTGCCTGGTCACTCCTCTCAGTTGGTCTTGTTCACCTCGCCTTCACCCTCTCTCAGCTCGCCCTCTTCTTGTGAGCAGGTCAGGCTGCGTCATTAGTGGCACTGGCGCTGAGAAGATGTCTGGCTCCTGTTGCCTGTCTTGCTGTGCTGATGGTGGGGATCTGCTTGGTGGTTGCTTGCGTGGGTGTTGTGAAGGTTGTGGTGTTCTGCGGTCTCGGCCAGCCCAACACCCACCATGGCTGTCGTGGCGCTTGTGGCTGTGATGGCTGTTGTGGTGGCTGGCGCAGAAGTTGTGTTGCTTGTTTCCCTGGGTGGGTGGCTGGTGGCCGCTGTAGTGGTTGGCGCTCCTGCTGCTACTGCTGTCTCTGTACCCGCAGCTGCCGTTGCTGGTGTGGGAAGGGATGGCTCAGTTTCCCGGCTGTCTATGGTTACCACATCATTGTGATGTGTACCACCGGTGGGCAGTGGGACGTTAGCCAGGATTTCGGTGACTGCTGTTTGCACTTTGTGCAATGTCTGCTGCCAATCCAAGCTCGTCCACTGGTGTGGAGGGGGGGGGGCATGGATGCTGAGCTTGTTGCTCTGCTTTCATGTGCCTGCACTTGCTGATGCAGTAAGTCGCTCAGCAAAGGTAGCCCACTTTGCAAGGCTGTGAAGGGCTGCTGCTCTGCTAGGTGTTGGCTTACGTGAGCTCAATGGGCAGCTGTGGAGCCAGGGTTGTGTGTGTTATTTGGGTGGGTCACAGTTGGAGACATATCAGTTGTCACACTGACAAGAACATATACTACACTTACCTAAGCTCTATCTATATCTCTCTCTCTGCCTCTTTCATTATCACTTTCAGTTGGGTATGGGCCCAAGGACGCATGGCGGTGCGTGCTCCTGGTTGTTTGTCAAGCTGGGGAGAGGCTCAGAAACCGAGATTTCTCAGAGCTAGCATGTGCTGCATGTAGCTAACATTAAGTGCTATTCTGCGCCGGAGCTGCTGAAGTTAGGTCTGCCTACTGCACCTCAAAAGGCTGGACGCATCCTCCGTTGCCCCTGAGCTCGCTCATTCATTGACAAGACGCTTTCCATCGCCGCCGTCTGCTGCATACCCCGCTCATGCCGACCAGATTATGCATATAGAAAGGTGCTTGCAATTCATTGAGCTCTGACTGTTGCTGGTTGAAGCTATGTTTCCAAACACGAAAGGTTCGTGAACATCATCGACCACAGCAATACATTCAGTTTGTGCCCGGTTCCACTAGCATCTCAAAGAGTTTGAAGCTTCAAAATGCAAACCTCTCCTGGGAAAGATGTGTTGCAACATGTTACGAGGGTACTACAGCACGTGCAGATCAATCCTAACCCCTAAAAGCCACATAGTTTCCCCCTCAATCGCTGCTAGACCAGTCAATTGCCTGCGTTCCACGCGTCAGCAGCTTGGGCTTGGATGAGCCTCGTCAAAGTCTGAAACACAAATCACTCCTAGCTTTG